GACTTTAGCCTCAGCAGGAATCACATTCATGACCCATACAGGATCTTCAATGAGAGCAGTGGCAAATCCACCCAAGTATGCGTTCATATCTAAAATGTTTCGATACCTTCCATTTTGTCCTAATTGATGGTTCAATGTTTTATAATAAGACAACCTCCTCTTCCATACTTCTGAATCTTGTATGAAAATTTCAGCTGTAATTCCATTTACAGTTCCATTCCTAATCCTTGGTGGGATAGCATTTAGTCTTTGAGGCCATTTTGCCAATTCACCACCCGCAACTTCTTGATCATGGGAAACTTCGGGCAAACGGGTCAAACAAGTTTCCAAATTTGTATACCTGCAAATGGTTAAAATGAATTAAAATTGATCTGGGATTTATGTAACAAAATATTTAAAACATAAGTGGGATTGAAAAGCAACAAACCAGGCTTTGTCAGGATCCTGAGCCAGGCAAAAAGGTGGGTTTCGGTTAAACTTGCGATTAACTTTACAATTAAGATGATTGATAGGCTTTTGCCAAATAGCAATGTCATCTTTCTCCACCAACTTTTTCCAGCACAGTCTCCTAGCAACTCTCTCGATACGAGTCTGTTCATCATTCAAATCCTCTCTGGTTCTTTGCCAGCCTTGCCAATATTTCTTCCAACGAATTGGAGGGCCAGAGAGAATCCAGTACCCGCCGGGCCTTAAAACTCGATCAACTTCAATCAAATAAACCCCGTCTGCCGCCCCATGTAAAGACGAAAAACAAGTGAATTCCAGGTGTACTTAATTAAATGTACTTAACAATAAAATTAATTAAGGTGATGGGAATACCATATTGGTCCCATGGAATGAGGCAGCGAGAGCAATGAGCCATGTCAAAGGCTCTGGATGGGTAAGGAAGCCTCTTGGAGGCAAGAACGCCTAACATGGCAGGAACTCCTCGCTCCAAGGCAAATTGCACTTGCGCTTCATGGGTGTCCCTTGGCGCGAACGACATCGTTAGGATGTTCCGAGACAGAAGATAGGCTCCCCAGCTGGCTACCTACATTTTTGGAATTCATTTTACATTTTAGTACACAAATTTCCAATATTGAACGGGGATGAAATATTAAATTTTTTTTAAAAAATAAAGAAATATACAACATTAACTGATGTATTATTTATAATTTAGGTTTTTTTTTAAATAGCACTTTGAGTATGCAAGTGGTGCTATAACATTTATATTGTGGTGTTATATACATACCTATAAAAGGGAAAATTCTAAGGAACCTTAAATTTCTATCAGTAGTTAATGTATAACTATTAATTATAAGCGCCAATGGACTATGAATGCATGGTATGTGTAATTAGTATAGTACCTATACATCTGTAACGTAACGCAGCCCAATGAATTGATGCCGCGACCGTTTGGTCTCTACAAGTGTGTAAATTGTTTCCCTCCATTAACATCACACCAATCCAAAAAAGGTTGGAAAAAGAAATGAAAATAAATAAAACGTAAAAATCGAGGTAAAATTTTGAAGGTTCCCAAGTAAGAGACGTTTTGACCCATCATTGTTTCAACTTCACAATAATTAACAGAGCTCCTAATAGTTTATCGAAAACAAAATGAAGCGAACCAATTATATCTTCCGTTTCTTTAATATGTATATTAAAATTTCAAACAAAAGAAAAACTGATGAAGAAGAGTAGAAGACTTACACCACAGCCAGTATCAATGGCGGTACGAATGGACCCATCTTTGAGATTTATCAGCTTCCCGATATCGTCTATATACGCATCAGCACCGTGGGGAAACATTGTTCCTCCTCCGGGGAACCTGAACCGCTTACCTTCATATCTAATCCAATTTTGCCCCGCTTTCTCCACTGTCAATTCCTTGTGCGGCACGTTGGCGAACCAAGCCAGATCCCGGCTCTTTGGCCACAGGAAAGGGTTCTTGTAATCATAGGGTGCAGGCACGCGACATTTCAGTAGCTCTCCTTTCTCCGGGCAATGCCTCTCCCTGTATATCAACCTGTCCCTCTTAAATTTCAACGATCTTATGTGGTCCTCGCATGGGGTGTATTCACTGTACTTAACGCTGCATGAAGGGTAGGTTTTGATATCTGGCTGAAGCGACTCCTCATCAGCGTCCGCCACGTGGTGGGTTGAGAAATCTAAGGTTTCTGATGTTGTCCGGGTGGTGATGGTGGTGTTAGGGTTTGGGATGCATGGGAGTGATTTGTTGGTGGTGATGAAGGTGGGGGCGCTGCTGCTGTGTTGCCAAAGGCCAAAGAGGAAAGAGAGGGTGCAGAGGCAAAGAACAAGACCTAAGGAGAAGAGGCTGCCTTTTTTTGAGGCAAATGAGGTTGCAGTGGCTTTGAGGGGTTTGAAGGTGGCATGGTATGGTAAAATAAAACCAGCCATGGTTTGGACTAATGCGAAAGGGGCTTGTGTTTCTCGTTTGTTGGTTCTACTTCTATCTATTTAAACTAATGGCAGTATTTATATGGTATTAGATTTGGAGAAGGCGTTGAAGAGAAATAGGTTTTGGATCGAGTCATGTGGGTGACGGTGTTTGGCAAATATATTAATTATGTAGGTTTTGGATTCAAGTGAAGGGGAAGAGAGAGATGGAGACAAGTTGTGTGTCCTAAAAATGGAAGACTGGGTAAGATTACAGCTTAAAAGCTTAGCTGGATGATGGACACAAAAAGAGAAAACAGAGACTGAGATTTGACAACTAAAGAAATTGTCATTAATCTGCTAGACTAAGCAAAAAATATTGTGAACTGGCTGGATATTACCATCACCATGAACCACGGTCCAGTTAAATCCTGTCTGGTAAGTCCCTGTTCCAAGTGGTACAAACTTGGATTAGAAAATTTAATTAATACGAGGGTGCTAGTTTGCTCCCCGTCCAACTTGCAATACCCCAAGCAACCAAATTATGAGATAGTTCCAACATGGACCATAATTCAAAGCTTGATTTGTCGAGGCTTGTAATACTAATGAACGTTTGGGGAAGTTGGTATTCGGGAGACGAATAACCCAACGTCAACGCAACGATTATAATTCCTCAAATATTAAATATCAGTAATAGTCAAATACGATATAACATCTATACATTAATATTTAATAAATTAATATTTTAATTAAATAATATTTTTAATCAATTTTGATTTGACATCAATATAATAAATTAATAATTTATTAAATTTATAAAATAATACATTTTGAAAAACACATGAGTCCATTTGATATATAAATTAATAATTTTTTTGTATATCAAAATTATATATATAACTTAATAAAAAAATTTTTATAAAATATGACTCAAATGTGACTTATTTTCTTTTAAAATTGATGCTTCTTTTGATCTTATTTTTATCTTTTTTTAATACATTAAGAAGTTTTAGTATAATATTTTTGTATTGTAAGAGAAAATTATATAATGTGATTATTACTTTAAATGCATTTTTATGTAAGACAAGCTCCAATACAAAATTATAGTCTTCAACTTTTTCTTTTCTATCATTTCTCATGATATACTTATCAAATGGATAGATCTATAACATCTATTTAATAAGATTAATTACATTCATAAATTTATTTTTATTAAACAAATATATAAAATAATGATAATTTATAATTCGATAATTAGGTAATATTTATATAGTCATAATATACAACACATGTATATATTACTATTCACTTTAAATATATTTTATATTAAATTAATTTTCTAATTGGATATTACTTACCTTTAATCTTTTATTTAGAGCTTCTAATAATTTTTATACAGGATGTGACCCAATCGTAAAAATATATATTAGATATAAAATAAATTTAATTAAACAATTAAACAATTAAAATAGTAGTTTTTTTCTTACCGAAGTCTTTTCACACTTTTAGTCTTTCTTTTAATTAATAATAAAAGTTAAATATTTTCTTATTGGTGTGAATGGATTAAAACCAATAATCAATATATACAACGTGTGAGATTTATTTGGTTAACTTAACTTTTGTTTGTTGGAAATAAAAAGCAAAATACTGCAAATCCAACAACTTTACACTTGTAGTTTGATGAAATTTAACAATTTAAGTTCTAGGTGATATTTTCTTTTTGAAAAAATATTATCTAGAGAATTCTATTAATTATTAAAAAAGTTTAATAACAATATGATGGTATAATTGAAAGTTAATTGAGAATAAAAGGGTAATATAATTTATAAAAGTTTTACACCCTTGGTGAAAGAAACAGGTAGTGAGTTGAGTATTAAGTTTTACTAATTCACTAAGAAAAAGGATTTTCCCCAAAAATTTTGTTAAAAAAGTTCAAAATTCAGACAGTAATGTTTTTTATCAATTAATTTTTGATGAAATATTTTATCAAAAGGCAGGTAGAAAAACACCTATCAATAAACTGATATATTAAAAATGAGAATATTTTGTCGAAAACCTTTTGAGAAAATATTTTGTGATAAAATTTCATGGTTAGAAATTAAAATTCAATAAGATGAAATATTCTTTTGACAGTTTCATGGGTAAAATTCTAACAATTTATTGACAAAATATGTATCTTAAATTTGAATTAATTTAGTAAAAAGACATGAATTTTCTTCAATAATTTAAATGTATTTCCTCGAAAATGGGTGCCTTCCGACTTTCTATTATATAATCTACCCTACCATAAAAAATGGGTCCATAAGATAGTCTGTTACGAGAATTAAACAATTGTTCTGAAAATTTAAAAGCACAATTAGTTTCTCACTACAATTGCTCACAAATATTGGTTTGAAAGAAAATATTGCAAAAGAGTTTTTATGGATATTCCAACTCATTCCTCCAAAAAAAGAAAGGAATAATAATAATAATAATTCAACTTGTAAATTTTTTAGAAAAAAAAAAAAAGAAGGCATGGCGGCGTAGGCATGGGTTAACAAATGATATTACGAGAAACCTCAGGGTCAGTTTTGTGAAATTAGACGGGTTTAGTGGGCTTGCTTTTAAATAAGGGGCAGTCTAGAGCATTAATAAACCTCTGTTGTTCTGTTAGGGCTTTCCAGAGGAGAAGCAGAGGAGGAAGTAAAGCTTTGCGCAAAAACCCGCGAGAATCCACACCCACCCAAGTTTCTTTAGGCAAATCTACAATGGCGGACGACGACTATAATGACATGGATATGGGGTGCTCTCTCTTTCCTTCTTTCTTCCTTCCTTCCTTTGTCGGTTTTATATTTTATTTTTGTGTATTCGATTGTACAATTTTTGACTACGCTTTTCAGCTTCTGTTGAAATTTGGATAGTAAAGTAATCGGAGAAGTGGGTTTTTATTAGTTTTTGTTCTTCGATTGTTTGGAAATTGGGAAACTAATAGTTTCCTGTTTTTTTAATTAAAAATTCGTTTGTACTGGGAAATTTTCACTTTTGAACCCTACTTTTTCTAAGCAACGAAACAGAGGGTAAAGATTTTTCCTATATCTGTTCTACTTTTGTATTTGCTGTGAAATTTCGGCATTTTATGTTATTGTTGCTTAAGAACTTAAACTCGGGTTGCTAAAATTGTTGCTGCAGATATGAGGATGAGCCACCAGAGCCTGAGATTGAAGTGAGGATCAATTTGTTTTTTCATTGTTATCTAAAAGAAATCCGATGTATGTGATAGAGCTATTTGTTGTCAAATTGTATGTGATGGACAGGAAGGAGCCGAGGAAGATTTGGAAAACAATAACAATGATGATGTTCCTGTGGAACCTATTGAAACTGAGGAAAAAGAAGAGCAGGGTTCTAAGGACAAAATTCGCAAAACCTCAAAGTACATGACCAAATATGAGCGTGCTAGAATCTTGGGTACTCGTGCCCTGCAGATCAGGTTAACTTATACTTCAGATTTTTTTGTTGAAGGGGGTTGGTTGTAGGATTTAGCAGTTTCAGTCTTATTATATGCTCAAACAAATTTTGTTTTTGTCTGAGCAGCATGAATGCTCCTGTTATGGTTGAGTTGGAGGGTGAGACTGACCCACTTGAGGTAAGTTTTTGTTAATGGCTACATTTCTCGTTTTTCTACTGTCTCTTTCTTATAGTCTTCCTTTTTGAAAATTGATACAAATGTTGCTTGCACTTTTATCCTAAAGCCAGTTGACTGCTTATATGAGATTTCCACTCTGCTTACTTACTAGACAATATGTGTTTTGCATATCAATTTGCAGAAAATGGACGTTGAATTCTCTATAATGTTTATTTATTTTATTGCTGTAGAGAAGTTTTTAGATTGTATGTAGGAAATAGGCCTCCTAGATGCATGTTTGTTGTTTGACAAATGATTTATAGAGAATTGAAACTAAAAGGAAAGATTGTGGAGACGACAACAAATGCTGAAATACTATTTCTGCAATATGTTTGGAGGATGTAACTCTGTTTGGTGGTGTCTATTGTCTTATCGTGCAGCTGATATGTGGTCAACAAGGGACCTTCTTGTCCTTCAGTCGTCAGTATGTAATATACACATGATACTGCCCAAGAACATTTGAATGGGTTTCTTGTATCTTGTTAATATTGCACACTTGAATGCTTGAAGTATGTAGTACTGTGCGCACTGAATGTGTCAAGGAACATATAAAATCAAAATTCCTCAACCGAAAATACAACAATGATTCGACCTGGTCCTAACCTCCTTGTTTTGCATCATGTTTGGTTGAAACATGATTGGTTTTCAGTTGCATTTGGATGTTTTTCCTGGGTTTTCCCTTTTTGTTCCTTGAAGTGGCAGTTACTTTGCTTGTCCCAAAAGTTTTAGATATATTTCCTTTACTTGATCTGACAGCTTTCTTTCCAGTATCCCATGCTTGACCTAGACAACTCGTCAGCAAGTTGTTTTTGCTTTGCATGATTAGTGAGAACACTTCATGTCATTTATCCTATAGAATAATATTGTATTGCTTTTTCTTTGCTATAACCCTCATTTTTTTGGCATTTGTATTAGATCGCCATGAAGGAGCTTCGAGAGCGGAAAATACCCTTCACCATCCGGCGCTACTTGCCCGATGGAAGGTGAGATCTAGTTAAAAGGAATTCTGTTCTTGGTTTCTATAAGGGAATAATTGAACATTGGGCTTTAGCTGTAAGTGTTGCTATGTACTTAAAGGAAAGAATGGAAAGAAAAATTGAAAATAAATGGGTGGGGTGGGGAATGTGGTCAATTTGTCATGTCTTTATTTACTCGCTTTCTTTTTTGCGTTTCTGATGGATTTACCTTTGGTATAACATTTCAGTTATGAGGATTGGGGAGTTGATGAGTTGATTGTGGAAGACTCATGGAAGAGACAGGTTGGAGGTGATTGATTGCCAGTTATTTGTTGTTGGAGGAATAGGAATGTGCTCTTAGTTTCTAGATTGGGTGTGTAATTGTGGTATGGAAGAGTTGTAACTCTTGGATTTTTTCTGTAAATGTAAAAAGACTATTTGCATGATCCCTCGAGCTATACTAGTAGACTGATTTAAATACCTGCTCTGCCTTTGACTTCCAACAAAATGAATGTGGCTTTAAATGGCCTTCGGAGTAGGATACAGCCTTTGGAATTTGTTAAGAGATTGGCAGACGAATCTTGTTCTTTCAAGACGAGGCTTTTCCTTTTAAAACCTGTTCTTGGAGAGCTAACTATTTGGATTATCTTGTGTCATCACCAATTCATTCTTTTGTGCGTTTTCATATCCAAGCTAGCTCTTAAGCATCCTAGTGATGAGGTAGGGTTGAGATCGGGGCAGGTATTAGGTGAGGTCTTGTTTTCTTATGAAATCTTTTCTACTAAAGACAAGACTTCTTTTATTAATCTCTCGTGGATGGTTTTCAAATATTTGCTAGCTCCATAATTGAGAAAACCACTGTTTCTCCAGAGTCTTGTATATAGAGGTCTGCAAAACAAATTATACCACTCGCATCCTCCGCGCTGGTATTTTTCAACTGGAAAAATTCATATCACTACAACTTTCCCAGCTCATGAGATATCAATGCTTACAATCACAAAATAGGTTTTTAGCATTGAAAAATCATAATTAATGACCCACAATTATTTCTGTTTGCTTTCATGGATGCATTGAATTTCTTTGTGCATCATTTTTGAAGCAAGGTCAAAGATCAAGTCAGCATCCCCTTTTCGAGTCTATCATAGATTTCTTTCAAATCCTCTCCACCATTGCTTCAGATAGAGTTTCCATTAGGAGTAGACATGCATTTTATAAAAAAAAAAAAAAAAGCTCTGTTGACGCGTGATAATCTTTAATTACATTTCATGAGATATTCTGTTTTTTAATTTTATCTAAAAATTCAAGATATTTGATTCGGAATTTCGAACTCATGAAAATGATAATGAGTTATATAATTAGCAATGGCATTCTCCATCCATCGCTGAGGAAAAGGATATGACAAAATCATCACGCCTAGAAAACAATTTAACTTAATGCATTGTTTTCAAATTTAAAGAGGTTGTTAATGAAAAAGACATGGCAGGGTCCTCCCATCAGGAGCCTTTATTGGATAGATTTACCAATGCCAGACATTTGAAGTTGAGGGAGTCTCCTACCATAAATGAGTTATTTCATGATGGATCCTTCCTCATCAGAAAATTTATTACCACTATATCTTTTTAAACAAGCACATTCAAATGCGTTTCCACGCTAATAATATTTGATCACTGGTCTAATAAAAATGGCAGCCCGTTATATATATATATATATATATCTCAGGCCGAAGGTGGAGAAACATAAACTAATTACCAATGCTCCAAAAACTGGTGCGACCGGATGATCTAAAGGATTGCAACGGAAGGGCTTTTCTTTTCAATTTGGAGTATCAGGTATATAGTTTTCGTATCTGTGAATAGCCATCATGTGGAGAGGCAGATCAGGAAATAGTGATAGTTATTGGGACAACATTGAGAAAAACCTGTATGACATGTTTTTCTATGAAGCTGACAATATACAACAGATATACCATGATGAGGTACCTGAACCTGAATGGGCTTATTGCCACCCCTCCCACCCTGCTTCCCTTGGCTCCTCTTCTTCATCTCTAATTTTGTAATTTGAACTGACTTCTGTATGTGAGGCTAGAAAGTAAATTTCTCAAAGACGGGTTAATTTCTTTCATTGTTTTAAGGGGCTTGCGGTTCCAATATATCAAAGGCATGATAACAATTATTCATATGGAGATAATTACGGAAGCAGTAGTTCTTGGGGGGAGTACTCAGGGCATACATCAGATGAAGCTCTAGCAAGACACTTACAGGAGATGGAGGATGGTTTCCAAAACTTTTCCTTTGATGAACACTTTAGAACAGGTAAAATCAATTGACTAGGATGCTTGATTCGGACCCTCTATATATATAGGCACTTCATATAATTCAATAGTATTTTTACCCATATAAACCAAGACTCTATTAATTCTTCAGTTTTGTAAGGGTTCAGCACTGTATTGTTGGTCAAGATAATTCAATTCTCACTGTCTGCAGGGGCTGGAGGTGTCCGTCAAGAAGGACCTTCGTTTTCGGTAAAGGATCGGTGCTCTCTTTGTACCAACATATAGTCAATCATTATATGTATAAAACTAGGTTCTATGCTCAATTGCAGGGGGAAGATCAAGATAATGTTGATCCTGATAACATGACGTATGAGGTAGGCATTCTTTTCAAGGCTGCACTCTATCCGCTGTTGGAATTTTTGGTAGAAGCGAAAGCGAATAATAAAACAAAAAGCATTTGAAAGATATGTGCACAGAGTCTGCATGTGGGAGTGAATGGTTTATCTTAAACATGGTGGCTGTGAAGTTGTGTGGCTAAGTTTCTAACCTTGGTTTGTTAACTTCAATGTTACTTCCTGAATGATGTGCAAATAATCTGTGGATCCTCTTAAATGTTTGTTTCTGACATCTAAAGAACCAAGAAAAGAGTACAAAGTTAGAAATAAAAAATAACCTTTATCTGATATGAATCATACAAAATTTATGTAAACCTTATTAAACAATAATATAAGCTTTTGGGCATTATCTTTTGTCAGCAAATCTCCGAATTAGGACAATCCATTGGTAGTGCTAAGAAAGGACTATCAATAGAGCAGATGTCCCGGTTACCAACTCACAAATACAAAGGATCATCCAAGAAAAAGGGCAAATCTGCTGATGAAGACTCAGAGTAAGATTAATTATCATTTGGCAACTTGTCATTTTAATGTTAAGATAATGCATTGCATTGGTGTGTCAGATTGAGGGTCAACTTACTCGTACAAAGGTGAATATTTAAACCATGTTCACCTGAGATTCTGAATCTTATTTATTAGAGAAGCACAGTAGCTTGACCAACCTGTTATTCAGTTGCCATCTCCTTAAACCTTTCACTGGGTAAACTGGAATACGTCACAAATTATCCGCCTTCGATTTGCTTGAACTCACTTTAATTTGACAAAAGTCCTAAATGTTGCAATATTTTTTTATAATCTGTAGGTCAGTTTCCACAAAATATAGGATTTCTTTTTCTGATATAATTATGCTTTATGTTACACGTGAGCCCAGGTGTGTGATATGTAAGATGCAATATCGCCGGGGGGATGCATTAATGACCCTGCCCTGCGCACACAAGTATCACGAGGAGTGCATTAAGAATTGGTTAGAAGAAGACAACGTAAGTTCTTTTTCCCTTTGGCTCATCTCTCTCTCTCTCTCTCTCTCTATATGTATATATATATATATATCCTTTTAATTCTCTGACTACCAAGTACCAACCGTATGTATCTTCCTTTGATCATTGCTTAATTTTGTTGCAAATACAATGTTCCAAGCAAACATTCAGGCTTGCATTCATTTTTCCATGTTATGGTGCATTGCCTGTGTTTTATATTCTAGTCCAATAATCACCTGAAGAAAGGAAAAAGGGGAAAAAGAAAGAAGGAAATAGTACTTCTGATTATGAATATTGTTCGAATTGTTGGTACTTTGTAGAATTATCCACCTTCAGCAAAAAAAAAAAAGAAAGAAAGTATATAATCTTTATCGACCTGTGTCTGACAGAGCTGCTGCGTCTGCAAAGAGGAGGTGACTGTATGATTTGGGGAGGCTTCCATGTTAGGAATTACTGCTTCTGTCCACCTTTCTATAAAGTTGTACATATTTAACTCTTTTACATTTTATTTAGTTCTTTCTTCTGCTGTTCCCTTAAACACTGAGTTATATAAGTTATACTTTTAAAATCTCGAATGCATCTTACGTCAATGAGAAAAACTGTACTATTCTGAATAATAATAAGTTTAAGGTAGCTGGTTTCATGTCATGCCTGCAACTAACTATTCTCCATGTTCAAATCAAAACCAATCTGCTATGCCCTGTTGACTGCCAGAAATTCCATCAATTTGACTCTTCCTGGCTCCTGCATTCATGCAGATCAATGTAAAAATTCAACAGCCTTTGTTTTCATGTTTTCATCCCTATCCAGGAATGCCGGTTGATTTACTCAGACAACAATGATCTCAAAACTGGGGAGATATCCTTCTTTACTAGCATCCTTTTTCCAGGCGCTAGCCCCTAAAGGATGGACTGATAGCCCTGTTATCATAGTACTCTATTATTAACAATGGAACAAAAATTGGCCAAAAAAAAAAAAGAAGAAAAACAATGGAACAATGACAATAAACAGTACTGTCACTGCTCTTTTAACATGGAACCAGGATAACAAAAAGAGGGTGGGCTATAACCGCATGTGTTTCATACTATAATTTTCATGAACATAAATGTACCCAAGAGGCGGACATTAATGCTCAATCAATGTAATGATTTTCGTTTTTATTTCATAAATTTATGTAAAGTAGAACTGTGCGGAACGTGATGAATCAACAGATCAATGTTTGGTAGCACGATTGATTAGTTGATAAAGTCATAAAGATATTCTTCTCTAGGAGTGGGACCATTCAAAGGTATATCTAAGGGAGTAGTGTAGTAGAATAGAATCATATGCTAGATCTCAACCACTAAATTTGTGAAGAATCAGTTCTATATATCCACTTGGTTATTATGAAATATTTTCCAGTTAAACTGTTAATATTGTTCTTTAATGCTTTCTAGCTCAAGCTCGAATCAATTAGGAAATTAAATTCCAATCCCTAGCGTAAAATGTAATCATAACCTACGTCTTTTAGACGAAAATTTTGCATGTTGAATTTCCATAGGGCGGCTTCGTTTGTTCCATATAGTGAAATGATGAAAAAGGTTCTTCCATTGACAGGACTACAACAGCGACCATTCGTTGAACTCGAGTTTGTCAAAAATTTTCACTGGAAGAAAAGATGTAAAACAAGCGAGAAAAACATCCTAGTCAGTAAGTCTTGAAAAGCGACTTGCTATGAATTTTTAGGTAAATATTCCTAACACGTGTAAATTGTGAATTAAAATCTTATTTGTTATAGAATTGAAATCTCTCCCGTGACTTAATCATCGAATTTGAAGCAAAGTTTGCTCTCATAATATTAGCAAAATTTCCTTCAACCATTTCCATTGCTGGCAAGTCGGTTGAGACACATAATTGGCATTCGCAATCAAACTCAATTGAGGAAACAATTCCATTTTAAACAAAAGGGAATTCAGGATTAGACTGCTTGGTAGCCAAACAAAAATTATATGTATCGGGGTTGATTTGATCTCATGCACAGGAATTAGTCAGGAACTCCCACACGTATTAGATTTGGTATGTGAACAAGGTTTGTGGCTCTTACTTGTATTCTGACTCAGCACCACGTTAACGGCAGGGTCTAAAGAGACATTATTGTTTCTGAACACGAATCATGTGGACACCATAATTTGGTTCAACTCATGAGAAAAGTTGCGAATTATTGGGGGACGTCGTCTATACTAGTTTGGAGTACTCGATGTTTTATCCAATCTATCTAAATAACTTGAAATAGGGATTCAGAAAATGAGGAAAAGGGCCCAGCCTAGTAATGTCTTTTCCTTGTTGAACCGAATAATTTGCTGGGTTTAAGCTCTTTGGAATAATTGAAACAGATGGTCAAACCACATATATAGCTTTTCATTATTGCTTTTTGGTTCGGTTTGCGGACTATAAGCATGTCCACACGATGCGATGACATAAACGATAAACCTGACAATCGAAAAAACAATGACAATTCACCAGTGGCGGAAAATGAGTGCAATTAAAAGAACATCAATTTACAAACATATTTTCGGTTTAGACCAAAACCCCATCTGGCGTCAACAGGCAACACTTTGCGGAGCAAGCACTGTACAAATGGCCCCACGCACTTCTAGTTAATTAGGGAAACAGTCAACCCATGTGAATCCAGTTGGTAATTTTTTAACCAAAGCTTTTCAAGCTCTCTATCTCCCACAGAATTGAATAATCTGATGAGATGAGAAGAGGGAATGATCAGTGTCGTGCCAGCTGTTGAATCCATTAATTAATTCTCCTTTCCCAATTAAAAGAATCGTGCGAGGAAAACATGGGGTTGTATGTATTAATGGTGTTGCATGTGGCCAATGAGTTTTGTGGTACAGTGTATGTAAATATGTTACGTGTGTTCAAAAGCAATTAAGGGTGTTGCATTCTCCACACTAATATATGTCAGCAATTCCTAATACAAACAACTAAATCTTGTTCGGTGAAGCCTTTTTCTTTGCCGAAAGATCGCCTACCTGCCCCTAATACAGTCACCGCCCATCCTCATGGCCAGGCAGGCAAAAGTAGCCCGAATCACACATACCTTACTAGTATATAAATATATAGTCAAAATACTCATCATCAAGTTCATGTATTTATATATTTATTCAATTTAATCTATATATTTAAAATAAAATAAATTAATTTTTAATTTTAAAAATTATTAATTTAATCCTTTCATAACATATCTTAATTTTTTCGTTAAAAGATGATGTTAGTGTTAATGTACATTTTTATAACATACACTTACATGATGACGTGACATGACACGTGATAGTATCGTGCATTGATATGATGATGTGATAATATTACATGAACATTGACATGTGTCGTATCAATGTACGAATAATAAAAAATTTTAAAATTTTTTGTACCATGTACAAGATTAAATTGAACAAAAAAAACAATACTAAGGGATTAAAATGGCAAAATTGAGATATTGAGAGGACTAAATTAAAAAAAATATTTAAAAAATATAAATCTTTAAGTAAATGATAAATATACTTATTAATAAGTCAAATATTTAAGTGTAAAATATTTATGGTATTGAAAAATATATATAAATATTGTTTTATTTAATTATTTGATTCTAAAATATGAACATTAATTTATTTTCTTTGAAAAAATTAAATTTGAATTCTCCTTTTATAAAAAAAATTGAAAAAAATTTCATACCAAAAGTTAAGTTTAGATAAAAACTTACATTATGTTAAAATAAAATAATATAAAAAGACTAAATAAATTTTTTCTTCATTTATAACAGTATAAAAATTTGATTTATTTGACTTAGTTTTTAACATAAGCTGAACTCAAATAAATAAAATAAGTTGATTTAGTTACAATTTTCTCAATTTTCAATATCCATTCTTTTGAAATTATTTAACCCTTACCCAATTTATCTTTCATTTAAATTTACTCAAAGTTTCTTATAAAATGATTTTATTTAATTTCAAATACTACAATCAAATTCTGTTGAATTTAAATTTAAACTATTAATTTGGATTTACAAAAATTTTGTAAATATAAAATAAAATTGTATTAATGTTTACAATTATATTTAACTCCATCAACCACAAATGTAGTCTTTAATCTAAGAAATTTCAACCTAAAAAATATATTCTGAAATATTAAACAAAATAAAAATATAAAAAATAAATAAAAAATTGAAAGGGCAGAATAACTCAAATTCTATAATTGTAATAAGATGTTTATCATGTCAAAATTAAGTAAGTTAGAACGAAGAATTATGTTTATAATTATTGCTAACTCCATATCTATTTTTTTTAAAGAAAAAATTAAATCAACCTATTTTACTAATTTGAGTTCAGCTCAAGTTGAAACCTAAGTCAAATAAATTTTAAATTTTTGTACTATTATAAATGCAAGAAAATAATTTATTTAGTTTTTTTATATTATTTTATAATATAATATAAATTATTT